CTTTTCTTTCCTCTGCTTTTGCATGCTTTGTCTGCCTGGACGGTTAGTCGTTAGGAGCTATCTTTTGGGGGGCTGCTCCAGCGCCTGGTGTGGAGCTCTGCTTTCAGTCGTGCTGCAGTAATTCATGCCGCATGTGCTTGGGTGGGCCAGGGTAGGGCAGGAAGAGCTACAGGTTTGTGTGTGCTTTTTGCTGGGAAAGCCTATGCACTTCTGAATGTCTGCCCATGGATTTTCGCAGTGCTTTCATGTGTGAGAGGGGACAGATAAATGGGAGCCTAAGCATGAGTGTGGGAAGGTAAAAGCAGAAGCTTACCTGTGCAGGTGAGCACGTATGCAACTTTTATATCCACAAACCGCTGTCTGTGAAGCACCACATGCGTGCGCGGGTGTGCAGGCTGTATAGCAGCATCCAGGTGTGTGCCTGATTATCTTCCTGTACATCTCTTAGCATGTGTGTACTAAACCTGTGCCTACAGCTGATGTAGGTGTGTCTGGACTTTTCCCTCTTTAAGGAGGTATAGAGTCCTCAGTCCTATGTGCAAAGAAAATCCATTCAAGCACTGACTTTATTATCACTTTCTTTGGTTTATTTTGGTTGAAATCAGAGCTCTGATGAGGAAAAATGAAGCAGAGAGCATATATTTTCCTGCCCACAGCATGTCCAGACAGTGTAGCTGAATGTATAGGCTTTGTATGCCTGGAGCTGGTGGGTGAGATATTCAGGCCGGGACAGAAAGACTGTCTGTGTCTTAGCACATCATTCCTGGCTTGCTTTTTCCACAAAGAGCCACCTAAATCTTTAAAGAACAGAGACAGCTTGTTGGAGTAGAGGAAAGAAATTCTGTAGCCCATTTTTTCTTTAGTATCTCTTGAATCTTTCTGAAATTCAGGATGTGGTCTCAACCATGCTGCTTTTTTTTTTTTTTTTTCTTTTTCCTGCATTCAAACCAAACAAAAGGGCCCAGCTATAGATAAGGATATAACAAGGAAGGTTAACCCTTGGGTTGCCAGTAGCTTTTGGCTTTATTTCTAGCCTATCCCTGTCTGGGAGTGTGACCGGATGGCAGTGGCTCCCTTTCTTCTGAATGAAGAGAGACTTCAGTGTCTGCCAGCAGGCTCATCAGATGGAGTGAAGAACTGCCAAGTTCCATCTGAGCTGTAGCCCCACTTATTAAAACCAGACCTGTGCCTTGAGGAGCCAGCAGATGAGGCTGTGTGCAATTGGTTCCACATTAGTTTTTCCTTGCAAAGCAGGGCAGCCCCTGTCCAGACCAGCAATGCTGTCTTATCTGCTGGTTTCAGGCATATTTAACTAAGTTTTACAAGCCTTTCTGAGACCTAGCTGAGGTGAGATGATTTATAGAACTAAGAGGACACCACCTCCTCAGTCTGCCCTTTTAAGCCCTAGGAGACCGAAGTAGGTGAATGTGCCACGTGCCTGAAAGAAAGATTTCTGCAAGCCCTGGACTGTCAGCAGCTCTAGCTTGCTTTTGGAAGCCCTATTCCAGCCCCAATCCAAAGAAAGCTCACTCCTTCTCTGAACCATAACCATAATTTGCTCTTCTAAGCCATGAACAAGCTCTGCAGCCATGGCACAGATGAGTGATTTCTTCAAGCCTGACATCCCTCTTTTTTTTTTTTTTTTTTTTTTTTGGCTGCCTCTTTTCAGCCCTATTCTAACTGTTGTTCTATGCTTTTTCTCTCTCTAAACCCTAACTATAATGGTCTTCCTACCAAGAGATATGGGAGCAATCTTTCTCTGCACAGTGACCGAGATATCCTTGTCTGTGATTTAGTAAAAAAAAAAAATAAATATAAGTAGCGTCAGGACAGAGAGAAAGTAAAGTGCAGGGCTGCAGTGTGACAGGGGCTGCAAAAGAGAAGTTGGAATTACCAACAAACTTGACTTGGGAGAAATACTTCATCTGGGCAATGCCTGGGGGACTTTTTCTAGCACTTCCCTCTAAAAGTATGGGATGAGGGAAAGAGAAAATATATGTTTGCAATCGGAATTGGGCTGAAATGGTTCTGCCAAACCAAGGTGGGTGGCAGCCAAAAGAGCTGGGCTGGGAGAAGTCTTTCATCCTAGCAGTGGCTTGAGGGTCTTTTCTCATCACCTCAGCAAAAATTGACCGAACTGTGAGGGCACGTCACTGACTGCAGGCCAGGCAAGACTAGGAGAAAGCAGGAAAAGCTTCATGCTGCAAGTGGAGATCACACATGCAGTAGTTCTGTGCATATGCTTGCATATGAGTGTCTGACATGGCCTCTGTCCTTGCTCTGGATCAGTCTAGAACACCAGAACATGGGGTTTTTGGAGAACTGCTAACTGTACTCTATACCTGGGGAAGTGCAGAGCATTTGCCTATTTCCCAGTCTTTCTCTAGACACATTCTTTAGAAGGAAGCAAGGCTGTCAGTCAGCTAGGAGGAGGAGATTTGGGAAAGCAAGGCTGCTGTTCTTTAATTGCCGTGCCATTACATAGCCTGACCTCCCTGTGGCTGTGTCTCCTGCATCTGAAAGAGTGAATTTCATGTATCATTTTGAGAAAATAGATGGGTTTGGTGGGAAGAAGCCTGGCTCAGAGATTGATGATAGGATATGGAGTGATTTTTTTGGTGATTTTTTTTTTTTAATTTAATTTTTTTTTTTTTTTTTTAATATACAAGTTGGGGTCTGGGCTGAACTTGCTGTAACTAAAGCTGAAGGACCTTTTGACTGAAGGCAGCCTGTAGCCCAGGATCAAATACACGGTTCAGAGGAGGGGGGAAAAATGTTCACCAGCAGAATAGCACAAAGGAGGTTAGAGAGGTTGTGTGCTCCTGCTCAGATTTCATACAGGAGAGCTCTGCACTGCACCTTGCAGCTCCTTTTGCCTGGATTATTCTGTGTGCAGTGATAACGTTGTTGAGAATTACAGAGGCCAAGATGAGCAAGCCTTGGAGACTTTACTTTCTCAGCTATGATCTGGATATTACTAGAGAAACTAGGCTGCGAATATTGTTTTTCCTTGGCTACTCGGCATCTGTAAGAGTCCTGGAAACCCTTTGATAGTGCTGAGCACCAAATACAAGCAGTTCTGCTGTGCTGCTTTGCTTTACCCTGTCATGGCAACGTGAATTACTTGATGAGATTACAAAGCAAAACAAGGAAGAGATTCCTTCTCCTAGAATATAATTTCAGGAACATCTCTGTGAAAACTCATGAACGGATTAGAAATTAGAACCAGTAAAACCTTTACTTTGAAAGACAAACAATATTTACAGTGATAAAGATAAGTCGCTCCCACACTTCAGGGCATGCTCTCCTGCCAGGACTGGGAGGGAATTTCCTTCAAGATTCTTCATGGCCCCCCAGCTCTGATTATGCAGTGCAGTTGTGCAGGCTGGAGTGTAAGAAAGGTTTCTGTATTCTGACATGTAACAGTTTTTCAGTGAATGGAAAATGGGTTTCAGGATCCTGTTTGCATGTTTCATTCAGGGAGTTAACACTAATGTCAGTGCTAGATTTTATTTCACCAAGGATTCAGCAGGGTTGGACTGAATTCAGAATGAAGGTACAATTTGATATGAGATCTCCTGTGGAGGATAGTGAATAGCGGCAAGGAAACTTCTGCTGTGAGTTATCAGCCTGCCATGAGTACAGCACTAAGATAGAAATGGGAAATAAGTTAATTAGTAGGAGGGAAAGGAGAGCCCTAAAAATGACCAAAATGATCAAAAGAAATGTGATATATTCACATGCATGCATCATTAAACACTACTTGGCTGCTGTTTGTGAACAGAGTAACTTTGGTATTGGATTCTGATGGGTTTTTTTCAGATCTGTATGACTGAATGCTAAGTGCATGATCTAAAGCTCCTTGTTGATATCAGTGTAAATTTACCAGTTGCTTTGAGCAATGTTTGAGTAGAATTTCCTGTCTGAAACTGAGTAAATCTTGGAATTTTCAAATTTCTAAATACCTAATCTCCAGAATGAGATTAATTTGTTTGCTGTCTTCCTTGACTCCTCCATATCTTATAGGGTGCTAGAACTGGGATTGCAGAGCATGGCTCACAGGTTGTCCTTTTAGATGGAGTTATCTCCTAGTGGCAGGGATTGAACTTTGGGACCTCACAGCCTGAGTCTCTTCTGCGTTGTCAAAAAGATGTGACCCCAGTGGTGGCATTCAGCAGCTGGCATTGTCCAGGAACTCCAGTTTCACCAAAGAGTGAGCCAGTGCTTTCATACTTGCTGGTGCATGTTTGCATTATTAGGTCTGACCTAATTACTACCTGTGGCCAGCCTGCTTTTAGAGTATCTGATGCTTCTTATACTTCCAAAGTGCAGAAAGTAAGACATGTTTTAGTAGGAAAAGCAATGATTTTGTGCATACCTGTGTTTTATTTTTCTAATTTTCATTTGTTAATTTTAATTAAGGCAAAATAAATAGAAACTCAGAGTTTACAGTAGGTGGAGAGTGAGAGCAGTTTCACTCTCATAAGCCACTTTTGATGTGGACAACTATATTCTGTCATGCTGGTAATCTTCTTGCAGGGGGAGTGCTACCTGTTAGGCTGGGCAGCTGCAAACTACTGAACAGTAACTGTGTGAGTGGTGTGTACGTGTAAAAAAGCATTGTGTCCCATGCTTCTGTTTTGGCATTCTTAAGACTGAAGGTGCAATGGAAATGTAATTACTTAATTCAGGTTCAGCGCAGCTGTAGATAACTATAAGCATAATCTCAACTCCACTCTCCTTGTGTATATTGAGGTATATACTATCTTAGGGTAAAGGGTACTTTAAAGCACTCTTAAGCAGAAAAAAAAAACCAATCACACTTGGCATGTAATTGTACTTGTTTTTTAAAACCCGTTTATTCTTCAGAGTCTGTTAAAAACTGGACCCTTGTGCAGCTCCATCCATACAAAATAATTTCCCTCATAATTCACCCAGAGCAATAGCTCACGAAGGGTTGCAGTTAACACCCAAATGTCTCTCTTGCTCTCTTTTGGCAGGGATCTTTGGACAGCGATTGGAGGACACTGTGCAGTACGAGAGGAAGTATGGCCAGCGGTTAGCCCCACTGCTGGTGGAACAGTGTGTGGATTTTATTCGGGAGCGAGGACTTACAGAGGAGGGACTCTTTCGGATGCCTGGCCAAGCCAACCTTGTCAAAGATTTGCAGGATTCTTTTGACTGTGGAGAGAAGCCACTCTTTGACAGGTGAGTTGACATCAGCAAATTCAGATTGTTTTACTTGTGGTATGTAAAGTCTGGCAGGAGCAGCCTGATGGTAGCTATTTTAGTTACACGTTCTCTTCATTCAGAGAGTTTGCTGGGCCTCTCTCTTGCATGGTTTTGAGTGTTGAGGCCTACATTTGGTTCAGTGCTTGAGCAGGGAGAGAAATTGAGCTGAGCATAAGCACATCTTGAAAGCCATTGCTAAATGTGGGTACAGCCCACTCAGTAGTTGGTAAGATCCCACCATAAAAATACATAGGACAGTAATGTCTTACTTCTTTCAGATGTTGCATTTCTCTCTTGTTCCATAGTGAATCTGTCCAGGAGAAAAATCTCAACTCTTACCCTTCCTTTGTCACTGGGTTTCAGAATAGTCACCAAGATTTTACACATCTTTCCCTGGCTGTTTTATGTGTAATGTATGGAATTTATCAGCATGTCATAGCCAAGTATTTTCTGGCCACAGAATTCTAGGCCAAAATGAATTCTTTTTTGGTCAAGGATTTCAGCATCTGAGGAATAACACTTATTTCAAAGTTGAATATATCTTAGGGACACCTGTGTTCTGTTTTGATTTTTCAGTAAAAGTTAAGTCAGATGTTTCCAAAGGAAAAATGACAATTTCCCATTTTAATTCCCTCTGCAAATATGTTGATGCAATCGCTCCTTGTGTGGTACAGAGAAATGGTAGCTGCGTTTTGGTCTCACTGTCCATGCCAATGTCAGGGACCATTGAGAGCCAGTTATTCTTCAAGGGGAGGTGACTCAGGAGCCAAGAGCATTAACAAGCACGAGGACCCCACTCCCATCATACCTGAGCCAGGTACTCAAGGCAGATGCAGAGAGAGCACTGAGGCTCAGGATCATGATCAGCAGGCAAGTCCATAGCGATAATGTCCAAGGTCAGGCTGGGAAGTAGAGCTTGATGATCTGTGAGATCCCTTCTAATCCAAGCCATTCTATGAGTCTATGAATTCCAACCTTGAATCAATGTCCTGGTTGAGATAACAGGGTGTGTGGCCAGTCAGTCATGGCTGAGGGGCTGTTGGCTGCAACAGGAAGAGCTCTAAGTTCGGCCAAGGAATAGGACATCTCTCAGCCACACTATCTCTACCTTGGCTATGAGCCCAGTCAAATAATCAGGAGGGTGGATGCTCTCGGGCCCTTGCAGCCATATCCTGTCCATCCTCTGTAACTGCTATTTCTTTCCCTCTCTCATGTGCACACATGCTATCCAGAATGATGGTTAGCATTGTGCTGACCTGAAGAGCCCTTTGAGAATTTTGCCTTGACCCTGGAAGAGTACTGGAACTTTAGCGGTGCTTGGATCCCAGGGCATTGCACAGATCTATCACACGTCCAGGAGTGGGATCAGATCTGAGATCTTTACCTGGAGACCAGGGTCCATTTCATGCCAAAACTCCCTAGGACAGGTTTCCTAGGTGGCATTGGCAGTTTCTGGTATGTCAGCATATTAACTCGGGGAATCACTTTCCTGTGGATCTGCAGCCAATCTTGATGTTGCCAGTGCTGTACCAACCTACTGCTGCAGGAAGTAATACTGCTCTCCTGCATGATAGCATTGGGTTTGCACTCATCCTGGGAAAAATATCCTTTGAGTTTATTGTGAGCATTCTTCTAATTCTTCCCTCCCCTCTGCTTCCCAGGCCACCCATCCTTTTTTCTTTGATTCTTAACCACAGTCTGTATTTGCTCCCTAAGTAGAAGAGTTGAGACATTTTCATGAAAAAAACTCGAAATGTCATCTTTTCTTAAAATCTTTTTTTTTTTTTTTTTTCCTTTAACTAAACGTCTGGATGCTCTGGTTCAGAGTTAGAATTGTCTAAATTCATGTGGAAGTGAAGTGAACAGAGTTGTTTTGGAAAACACTTATTCAGGAATAGGAGTAACTACAGATGGAATTAATTAGGACAGTCTCACTTCCACGTCTTACCTTCTTCTAATCTATTCTAACTTAGTTGCCCAAAGACAAGAAAAGCCTCCTCCCAGAACACTGAAAGCAGAAGGCACCTTTATTTCCATAGGCATTTGCAATAGTGAAATAGATCAATGAGAAGCATCACCTTTAACAGAGGCAATGAAGATCTTCATGAAAGAATGCCTGTCATTTGGGTCGTTGATCTGAAATGGACAACTCAATTTTCAGCACAGAATTGGAGGAGTAAAGCCTGGTAGCATCTGAGCAGTGTGACCATTGAGGGTTCCTCAGCTGTTGCCTTTCTGCCCTACCTTCCCCTTGCAGCCACCGTGACTACTGCAGCTTGCAGGCCCTGCTCTCTGATCTTTTATATCAGCTCCCACAGAAAGGGAGAAACAATTCCATCATGCTGAGTGAAAGACTTCTCCTAGCAAGCATAATTCTCTCTGTGTAACTGTCCGTATATGGCCTAGAATAACTAAGCAGCAGCAAATATTTTCTGCAAATGTGATATCCATATCCTTGTTCCCAAATCAGGTGCAGTGAAGGAGTACATTTTTTTTTCTTCTCCTTCTTTCTGGTTGCAGCCAGTGCAGTTTGATTCTGTGATGAACTCAACATTGTTTGATCTTCCAAATGCTAAAGCCTACCTGCCCCATGATAGATCTCCGATGATTAATAATTAAAATATTTACTTTTAAAAGGCTTGGGTTTTCAGTTTAAGTTTTAAATGCATATGTAGGTATTTAATGAAAAGCCAGGTGTTGCAGTTGGAAGCACCTACAGCAGTCTGCTCCTATCGCATATCCATGTCACTGACATTTTGGCTGGATTTCATCTGGCCATGCTGGTGTAACAATAAACTCCAACCAGGGGACCTGAAGTTGTAATGTATGGGCTCTGCTGCTGAGTGATAATCATTCATGCCTGAAACTTCATACCAAAAGATTTAAGGTTATTGACCTCATTTGTAAAGTATTTGTAATCAACTGAAGAAAACTCTGATATTCTCAGATTGATAGAGTTATTGAATAGAAATAGCAAAATTAATAACAAGTGGTCAAATATTGATACTTATTAAACTATCAGCAGCTCGTTCCGGTCATTTTTCCAATTTTCAAAAAAAAATTTGGAAGTTTTACAGTTATGTTTCTAATATCAGTCAGTATGCATGCCTGTGTATTTTTCTCCTTTCCCAGTAGTTTGGGAATTATTAGCAAGCTTCAGTAAAATAACAGGGATGGAAGTTTCTTTAAGAGAATTGAATCCAATGCTCTTATCAGAGCAGAATAAAAATAGAAGTGCTAGTCTTGTGTATTTTGTCCTTGCACTGGTCTCCTGCAGCTGCAAAATATTTGGTAGAGTTCATTACACTTCAAAGTACTGTTTAAAAACACTGTAAAGAGAAGAGATTCAGCTTTTAAAGAAGTGAGAATTTGAGGCTGTGTTGTTTACTGATGTGTTTTTCTCAGAATTCTCTAAAGACTGTCAGGGCAGTGGTGGGAAGTGAAGAGCTGGTGACACAAACTGTTGAGATTTCTAGCCATTTGCAAAGGTAATCAGAGCTGTACAGTAGGCAACTTGTAATGAGGCACTGTCACAAACCAGAAATTGAATAGATAATGTAAAGGGAAGAAACGGTGCATCTTCATCATGGCATTTGATACCTCAAGCCCTAATTGAAAGTAAAGGATAGAGAAGAGGGAAAAGAAGCCCCTGCAGTGGAAGAGTATCAGGCAGAAGGATTCAGTTAGAGGATCAGAGATTGTTTGATTGCATGAGGGTGCAGAGATTTGTTGTCAGAACCGTGTGATCACTGTGTTCTGCATTGCACACCTTCTTGACCACACTGTCTGAGGAACCACACCTACCTTGAGCAGGAGCATCCCTTCACTGCTCACATTGCTTGAGATGCATTCTTATTTTGACAGAGGGGAGATCTTCCTGGTCCCAAGGTAGACCGTAATGCTTCATACAGATGTGTAACAGAATGGTTCCACTTTGTGTACCTACCTTGTCCCTAAGAGGGACTTTGATCCACCCTGCCTGAAGGCATCAGGCTTTAGGGTAGCGTGGGTGTCTAAATTTCCTTCCTTCTTCTGTATTGCAGCAACACGGATGTTCACACTGTGGCGTCCCTCCTGAAGCTTTACCTCCGAGAGCTGCCAGAGCCTGTCATCCCCTTTGCCAAATACGAAGACTTTCTTTCTTGTGGACAGCTACTCTCAAAAGATGAGGGAGAGGTCAGTGATCATTCTAATCTGTCTCCTTCTACCTTGAGGGTTTTTTCCAAGACCCAATACAGCTTCCTTCTCATCATTCTTCAGTCCTAATTTAAAATCAGTGAAGTTCCTGGGAACCTTCCCCTGAATTTTCCTGAAGCTATGCACCGGCTTAAGTATCACAGGCTCCTGCTTGAAGCAGGAACTATTTTAAGTCAGTCTTGTAGCCTAGTGCTTCTCTCATCTGAACAGTGGTGTTCTATAGCATAATCAGTAAGAGGTGCAAGGTGTGAGATCTAGGTTCCTTTTCCAGCTTTGCTGTTGACTCATTAGCAAGTTTTATGAAGTCACTCTCCTTCTCTGTGTTTTCAATGTCATATATGGGAACAGTATATTCTGCCTTCCAGAGTTGTTGAATGAGATGTTGATTGGTGTGATGGTCTTTGTATTTCTTAGAGGATAGACACTCTAAAAGGACACAGTACAATATTATCCTAAAATGGGGGAAGTAAAGCTATGAATACTTTTCCAGAACCTTCAGTTCTTCCATTTGGCTTCCTCAGAGAAACCTCAACTCTGTGGCAATTGTGGAAATTTTGATTCAGCTCTCGCAAGGATAATTTACAATATGATTGATTGATCTGTTCTATCCATATTGCTCCCTGTGTGGCGATGTCTGAGCTCTTTGCTGACTGCAAGGGCACGTTGAATCTGGTCTAATGTGGGTGGAACTGTGCTGCCTTCTAAAGTGAGGTTTAGAGTTGTACGCCTTATTATTTATGTCAGCTAAAGAAGCGAAGGCCTGAGGGCTTGTAAGTCGCAGCCACGTTTCTGTCCTTTTCTGCGTGTGGCCTCAAGGGCATTCTTACATCTCTGTCTCTGGTGGGTACTGTAACAGCTGTTCTTTGCTGAGAGCCTTGTTCACCTTTAGTTGAAGTGGCTTTGGGAAGATTGAGTCCTTGATGATGCCAAAAGAAGATGCTTGTTTGCATGGATCAAATACAGAATATCTGATAATATATAAGGGGGTTTTTAAGGGCAGAAAGCAAGTTTGGTACTGTCTGTACATACACACACACAACCTATTCTCTAGCCAGCTCTGAGGAAGCAATTATCTGTGGTATCTGTGCATGACACAGTATAACACTGCACACTGATACTCATTTGTGTCCTGGACACAGCTGCATCAGTGTGTCAGTGCACTAGTGTTGTCTCTTAAACGGTACACGTATGTGTCTACTGGCTCCAAAACTTGCTCGTATATTAACAGCCAATGCAGTCATTGCTGCAGGGTGCTATGTTACAGACAGCAGAAAGGCTGATCTCGTGAGAAACAGCAGCATTCCTAAGGCAGTGGAGCTGGTTTCATTTTGGTCATACAGAATGCAGACTGAGAAGTTTTGAATCCATTAAGCACTATTGCACAAGAGTAGAGGCAGTGCCAAGTTGGGCAAACATAATTGTATAGCATTGCTCAGCTTATTAATGATGTAGTTTTGTATTTTGCCTGATTTTGCCTACACAGGTTGCAGCAGTTTGGGAAGCAGCATCTGTGTTAGTTTTGTGGGAGCAAGGCCAGACTGAAAAGAGTTGTAGTGAAAGCATTGTTCTCTTTGGATTAGAAAGGAGATGAGGAGGACCAGATAGTTGAAATGAAAGCTTAGAAAATACAGTACTGCTGATAGCACAATGTTGTCTCATTAAAATCGCAGCAGTAAACAACCATTCCTTTGGTCAGGAAAATCTGGAACCTCAACAAGGGCTGTTTACTTTTTTTTTTTTTTTGAAAGGTGGAGTGCACGCACCAAGGGCGGAAAGGCTGTACGTGCACAGTAGCACGTGGAGCAGAAGGAGCACAGTCATACCCGCCTGTAGGGCTTGCCTTGCCTCCCACATGGAAAGTCCCCCTGCTGAAAAATGTGGTTTCATTGAAATTCAGAGAATTTCAAAGTCAAATGTTTCATTTTGAAAATAATAATAATAATTAAATATATATATATATATATACACACCTTGAAACAAAATTCAAATCATTGTTTGAAGGAATGTTTTGTTCTAATTTTTCATACGGAAGTTTTGAATAAGACATTTAGACTCAATTATGATTTTCTTTAGTTGTAACCTCCCCAAATAAAACCAGAATTACTTAAAGCAAAATAGCAATTCAGATAAAAGAGTTGGCACTTCATACTGCTACACTGTGAACATAGATAGGAACTATCATGACCTTAGCTTGGCCTAATCTCCATTTGTATCAAAAAAAATACCCCAGCATTGTCCCAGGCATCTATTTTTGATTCTTTGTTGTTCATGTTCGTTCATCACCCAACTAAATTTTGGTTCTGGAATGCAAACAGAAACTTAATGAAGCCTTTGAGCTGTGGCTGTGCTGAGGCCTCCAGGTATCTCAACAGCTCTGCAGCATTAAAAGGAGATTGGATTCTGATCCCAGCTGGTTGTGAGAAGGAGATTTACGAATGAATGAAAGATCTTCAAATCTTAAAAAACTCATTTGATTCTGAGCTGATGTGGCAGTGTTTTAGCCTTCCCTGCTGACTGTACTCTAGAGATGCCCTCAGTAGTTCAGTGGACTAAGCCACTGGCTTTGGGATTTTAGAAGGAACTGAATTTGGGTGAACATTTGAAGTGCTGCCAGTTTTCTAGCCCGTCTAGACCAGAACTAGCCCTGTTAGTGCTGATCTCTTACACACATTGCAAAATCCTTGATTATAGGACCACTCCTTGGAAAAACTGTGATAAATAAAGCAGCATTTTTTAAGGAGTTAAGTTACTACTGCAGATTACCATCATGGTGAATGGCAGCACAGTGCCTCTACTGCTTGCTTGGCTGCAGCCATACACCACAACCTGTACTGTGTTAGCTGGTAACACTGCAGCAGTTTCTAGTTCGCATTTTCCATATTTCACCAGCTCAGCTTCCTGGCATTTGTTGGTCAGGTTGGTGGGCACAAATATGGAAGCTTTCTTTGTTTTGTTTTGTTTTTTTCAAACCTGAGAAGTGGTTCTACCACAGTGAATCCGAAAGATCCTCTCATTGTAATCCCACATTTGTGATTCCTTGTGACAGAGCATGGATGATAAATATCTACAACCTTTTTTTCTTTCAGATAGGCCTTGTACCTTTAGATCATACTTCCAGCTGCCTGCATGTTCTGCTACAAAGCCCTCTCTTGTATCCAGTGAAGCTGTGACATTTTAATTCAGAGCACTTGAAACACAGTGCCAAATGTCATTCTGATTTCTGTATTTGAAATAAATTGGGTTACAGAGCAAAACTTGAGAGGCTTGTTAGCTCAACAATATCTAGTTCAAACACCTCACTTGAAAGCTGGATGACCTGAAAAACTGACTTTAACCTTCACATCAATAGCAGCTTTCCTTGATTCAAATGTCTTCAGAAGTTCAAGAAAGATGTTTGAGATTTTCAAGAGACTGCTCTTTTATTGGAGACTCCATTGTTGTCACTTTTAACCGGCGTGATTTTTACCTGGAGGAATTAAAAAAAGACTTACTGCTTTTAAGAGTTCTTTTTTAAAGTTCACCTTTTTCTTAGTTGGACTCTTTTGTTTACTGGCAAATTCAGAAGAAAAAATTATTTACTTTCAGGACATTAAAGATGGAGGCAGACTGATGACTCCAGACTTATCTGGAGCAGAGGAGTCATGAAGATCTTGCAGGAGGCTGCCCACAGAATCCCCTCCCTGACATTCATTACAAAATGGAGGAAAGCTGCAAATGAATGTCCAAATGCAGTTATCTGGCTTGGAACCAGCTATTTCTGAAACTTCTCTAGCAGTCCTCCCTTAGTTAACAGCAATCACTCTTCACAGATGTGTTTGGATATCAATCTTCACACAGGGGTGGTAGTCTCAAATAATGAGCAAACTTCCAGGGTAACCGCAGCATTGAAAGGAACGAGTAAATGATGGCAGGACTGCAGCAGGACAACAGCCCTGAGTCACAGGTTTTCATAAGATGGTTTAAGTAGCTTCAGGGTTTTAAGTCATTTGTCAGGCAGATCTCTCATCTTACATTTTAATGTACTTACATTTTAATGTAAAGACAGAAAGTTTACGAGGAAGTGTCACAGCTCAGAATGACTGCAAATGGAAGTAACTAAAAAGGAGGTATCTGAACTGGAATGTTGTCAGCTTCTTAAAGAAAAATTCTCCTCTGCTCTGTTTGGCATTACTGCACCCTGTTTATGGTATGTTCAGTGCCTCTGAAGTTTTGAATAGGCAGGGTGCTGGAAAGGCATATTTGCTGGTCCACTTATACCAGTATACCTGTGAGCAGACTGAAGACCAGCAGGTTTCCCTTGATAAAGGTTTTTACATTAAACCATTACAGCTGACAAGAGGATTTCCACAAATTTAGAACACTGAATCAAGTTCTGGATGTGGGCTTTCAGTATTTCAGTCTGTGATCTGACTTCAGGAATTCTGCAGCCTTTTTCTCTTGGACAAAAGCTTCTCTTGGTGTTTGGGGAATAAGCATGCTGACTTGGTGGTTTGCAAAGGGGATGATTTTCCTTCTGTTGTAGATGGACAGCCCACCTATTTTTTGGTTCATTTTCTTTCTCTGTATTTTAGAATTTTAAGGATTTTTTTTTTCTTAAAAAAAAAATTATATATATATATATAATTATTTAATAATATTAAATAAATAAATATATAAAACAATTATTATTTAATAATAATAATAATTAAACATATATATATATATATATATATATAATTTTGTTTGTTTGTTTATTTTTGTTTGTTCATTTATTTTTGGGTCTGGGGAAAGATCCCAGTAATGATGCTTCTCTGGGTGGGCACCTCTGCTTGCTGGGCCAACAGCACTCCCATAGACAGCTATTTTCTCTCTATCTAGTGTCAATATATGGTGTGTAGTGGATCTCTCTTACTGGGACCACTGTTTCTACCTGAGAGGGAAGGAACAATGAAGGATGATACTGTCTACAAAGCCTCATTGTGCTATCATTTGTTGATTCACAGGTTTGACTCTGGAAAGAGGATTTTATAGCACTGAAAGAGAGTCATGTCTGCTTTGCATCATTTATATTTATAGTTCTCCTTTCTTGTTTTTCTTGTCCCTCAGGGTACTCAGGAACTGGTTAAACAGGTAAAGAATTTGCCCCAAGCCAACTACAATCTTCTGAAGTACATATGCAAGTAAGTGAAATTAACACTTGGAAAAGTCACTACATTTTGTGAGATTCAATCTTATATAGAAACAATTTACTCTGAAAGTTTGAATGTTCAGTCACCACTTACACATAACTTACTGCTCCTATAAAGTACGTATAGGTGGATGTGCAGCCAAGCAAATTGCTGTCATCCACAGCCTTCAAAGCAAGTGTCAATGATGCTGCTATGTGGTACTGTTTGTTTCAGAAGCACTTAAAGACCAATAAGGAAAGGTAGTATTTCCAGGCACTGCACAGCAGGAGGATTTGTAATTCAAGCTGAGTAGCAGATAGAGTTATGATAGAGGCCAGTCTGGCCTCAGGTCTGATTTGGAAGTGGGGTTGGGAGTGGCTTGGAGTGCCAGGGATTCTGCGGCCTTTTCTCCTTTTGTCTCTCTGCTGATTGTGCCGGTTCCAGGTGGGAAGGAATGGTCTGGGAGCTGGAACAGAATGTTAGCCTTAATACAATGTAATTCACTTTGTCATATTGTGATCTCTGTGGTAAAGTCCTTTGCACATCTGCAACAAGCAGTAGACATGAATGCTGACATGAAGCCCATGCCTTACTCAGGAGATGACAATCGTTCCCAAGGGTACAGATGGACAGCATTTTTGAAATGTACTTTTGAATGCTTTGAAAAATGTATTGTGCCTCACTGTGTACTTCTGTGGTTTGGTATCTAAGAACTGCAAAACATTAAGTGAGAATATGGAAGAGAATATAATCATACATGTTTCTAAGTGAAGAATCGAAGAAAGTAATATAGATTTTTGTTCTGACTTAGGGAAGAAAACAGTTCTCGGGTCTCAGCACACTGAAAGCCTCGTAAACAATAGGAGTGCCTAGAAAAGTCAGACTGCAAGTAGAAGCATTCAGAAGTTTGTACTGTACTACTCAGTTGGCAATGAGGAAATGTTTTGACTGCTAAAACTGCTCAAATCACCCCAGAATGAACAGCAGTTCATTAAGAACAGAGTACAGGCAGAGTGAGATTGTTCAACTCTGAGGTCTGAGACCTGTTTCCTGCTTCTCTGGGTTTTCATGTCATATTGTCCTTTTTGTAATGTGGCCAATTATAAGCTATTTCAGTGTTTCTTACAGCCTACTATAGCTCCTACTGAGGCTGTTCCAAATTGCAAAACATATAACTTTTAGAAACATTCTGTTGAATTCCAGCATATGCATACAGATAGCCAGTCTGTCTGCATTTCTTCATGTGCTATCTTTGGCTCACATAACGTTTTTTTCATGTGTTGATGTCTGCCCAGCTGATGCATTCACAAGAAGCTCTTTATCTGTGTTTTGTCAGATTCAAGAAATAAAGCTCTTCCAACGGGCTGCTTAGTTCTAGGATGAGAAGATCAGCGAAATGTCTTTTTTTACCTCCATCTGTAAGTGAAAACTGGCAGAAACCATTCCATGTAAATGGAAATTTCCCAGAAAATCTGTATTTGCATAGTCAGAAGTACCTTTGGCAGAAGATATTCTGTCCTCTCTTGTTCATACAAGAGGTCTGGGATTGAGTTTGAATATCTAAGCTGCAGTTAGTCTGTAGGAGCATTTTTGGATCCCAGGCTGCATATAAACACAGGGCAAAACTTTCTGCCCAGCATGCCTACAGTCTGAGAAGTGACTGACTTATTTCTCTCCTTCTATGATTTTTCTGGGGGGGCTTTTCAAGGTTCCTTGATGAAGTTCAGGCTCACTCCAGCGTTAACAAGATGAGTGTTCAGAACCTAGCTACAGTATTTGGACCAAATATATTACGACCCAAAATGGAAGATCCAGTGACCATGATGGAAGGTAGGTACTCCTCTTGTGAGATAACACAGCATTTATATTTTGGAGCTGCAGGAATATGATGAAAAGCACTGCACGTTATATCACTGACTGCACAGTCAGCAACAAGTCAAACAATCCGTTTCATCAGTGCCTGTAAGTGGATGTACCAGTCTGGCCACTGGTTATCTCACTTGCCACTGGTCTGGGAGTCTCTCTTTTCTAGAACATGGAGATGCCTCTGCCCTTCTATGCCCTTTCAGCTGTTGAGAAAGTTTTTCACACCTACTGTTAAAATGAAAGGTCAAAAGTTCTTCAGCTCTTCAGTTCCATGTACAAGTATCAAACTACTACTGCTTAGCATTGGTGCATTTGGGTTCATTTAGGCAGCTTCCTGCAAAGGGAATTCAAACCACAATGAAAGAAGTACTGCAGTTCTTACTGTGCTACAGAGGTTATACCTATGTGTCTTAGACATGTTGTCTTGCAAGTAGACTGTGTGGGTCAGAACTTCACAGAACTGAGTAATAAATCAGAGATCACTGTTAATTTTGGATGTTTGTACATTAAAAAAAAAATTACTCCAGTCATATATCAGATGTTTGCATGTATATGTTTCCTGAGTTGAAAAAAAAAAAACAAAACAACAACCCAAACCTGTAGTAGAAGTAATGTAATAGGCCCTGACTAATTATGGAGCTGCTTTGGGTACATTTGCTGTTAAGTGTGTTCTTTTGAGATGACAACTTTTATCTGCAAGGGTTGGGATAAGGTAGAAAACCAGACTATTCTACTCAAGTTTTACTGTATTTGTTTGTTCATTGTATTCTGTTTGTGCTGGACTGCAGGAAAAGAGAAGAACTCCAGAGAAAGAGGAAGCCAAATGATGGAAAGGCATAGACTGTTTTAAAAAATTTTGAAAGAATGAAAAAAATAGATCTGTGACCAAAAAAACCTCTTACACTCAGTAGTTACTTCTGTACTCCTTCAGAATGGGTCTTTGCTTTAGGAAATAAGTAAAAATGCCACAAGTGAGACTTAGAAAAGGTGAAACAGAGTAACTAACAATGAACCTTGGTGCACTTAGGACTTGCTTGCAAGCATGAATGCTTCTTTCTCCTGAAGCATATGTAAAAATCTGAAAATTATCCATCTCCATGTGAGTCATTAAGTGCAGAAACAGATGCTGGGTTATTCAGCAGTATAAAGGTGGGGACAGCTGAACTCACAGAAGTTAAATACAAGTTGTAGGTGAGGTTAGTGTACCTCTTGCTATCGGGCCAAGACTCATGATTATATTTAAGTCCTTATCGTAGAAGCCTGGGTATTAGTCCTATTCTCTATTTCAGATGATAAGTAAGCCTAGCATTAATTACTGTTTGCTCTTTTTAAGGCTTTTCTCTTTTGTAGAAAATACGTTGTATTAGGTTTGATAAGTGGTATTCTTTTGGTCTCTACTGAACCCTACTGAAAAGCAGTAACAACTCATTCTGTGGACTTACATAGTTGTCAGTACACTTCCTGCACTCGCTGTATACTTTCTACTTCTTTGTTTAAATGTTGTGAGAAGCTCCTCTTTTAATCAAGTTGGTCACCTTGTGAATTTGCTAGCTGCTGTCTACAGCTGCATTTGTGATTTTTAGGGGAAACTTGGCTCCAGTCGAGTAGCCCCTATGACATCTTATATTTCACTTTACGTTTACTGGTACCTATATCCCTGTAACACCTGTTTTTTGTTTTGTATTGTAAAGAACATACACAGGGTTGCTTTAGGCTGTGATCTATGTTGTGTTCTACCTTAAAATCTAATGTTTTCCTTTGGGTCCTTCTTAATGATTAGAAACAAACCTGTCAGTCAGAAGCTCCTGTTGCTTTCACTTTGTATCTGGGAAGCTGCATTTATCTGGGACTCTCCAGCATATATTTGAAATCTCATTTCCATCATGGACTGTATTTCAACATGTTTCCTAATGAGTACTGTTTCATTTCAAAATGCTGAATATTTTACTAGAACTGTAAATGAAGAGCATTCTACAAATAGATTGATGGTACAAGAAGTATCTCTTTCCCCTTGTATGCAGCTGCATCTGTCATACAGATGTCATACTCTTGGCAAGTTTCTCTATAGAGTTCAGCAGAAGGCCTAGGCTGAAACTTCTGGTGCTTTTATAAACGCTAGCTCTGGGCCTGCTAAGACTGTGAATTTTGGCATAGTATAGATACTCAAGTCAGTAGAAGCCTGCTAGTTTTGGAAGCTGGACAGAAAGATGCTCATTGCTAGCTGACACATTGGTGTACTGAGGATCCAGCATGCATTTCTGTACAGAGCTGTACTGTCCTGTAAGCTGTGATTGCTAAAGTGAAGTTGATGCTGGCTCTGAGCCCCATGCCAGTGCGGTGCAGACATGCCCTGTTTTTCAGTTGTCCTCCTCCTCTGTCATCCTCAAAGGTGTCCTTAAGCAGCCTAATTTATTAATCGTTACTACTGACCATTTGTGCTATACTAGTCAGCTGTATTAAGCAGGCAGACATGCCTGTGTCATTCTTATTCTTCATCTCCAGCAGTGAGAGCAATTCTTACCTTTTGCAGTCCTGTATAGAAAGGCCCAGAGAGGTTTGTACTGCCCCACTGCAGGGCATGGTGCCCACACGCCTGCCCCACAAGAAGCTCACATGGCACCTCACAGACAGGGAGCATCAGGCCTTCCACGGTCTCATGGAATCCTTGCCTTTGTTTCTCCCACAGGCACCTCACTGGTTCAGCACCTGATGACGGTGCTGATAAGTGAACAGGGGAGAATCTTTGCTGTCCCTCAGGCAGATGTGCCAGGGAGCCAACTGGAAATCAGACCTGTGCGTCCACGCAACACTGTGGAGTGGATCTCTGAGGAGGATGGAGAGGACAGCAGGTCAGAAAGCAATGTTCCCAGCCCTGCTGATCTGCCTTCTGACAGTGCTGTGGCACTGGAGGCCACGCCTGGACCTGTACTGAAAAACACTCCTCCAGAGCACAGCAGCAAGTTGGCTCAGCCTGCCACCAGCCCCAGCAAAAGAGTGCAGACGCTGCCTCCGTGGAAATACTCCTTCCGCCAGCAGGGAGCGCGGTCTGTGAGCCCAAAGCTGGGCAGCTCATCCCTAGATATCCCCAATCTCTCCTCCAGTGGAAACTGGCTGATGAATGGACTGTACTCTCTCCGAGGCCACCGCCGGACAGCCTCTGGGGAACGAGTTAAAGACTCTTGTTCTTCTCAAAGACTTTCTACTTATGACAATGTCCCTTCGTCCAACCTCTCCCTCAGCACGCACAGTATGGGCAGCACCACGTGGTCTACATCATCGTGTGAGATCTCCGTGGTGGACTCGGTCAGCAGCTGCCCAGCCTGTCGGGCCAGCGACTCCTCGGTTTTAAGCTCTCTCCAAACCGAGTGGATGACTCAGGGCTCACTGTCTCAGAGTGAGGTCAAGACTGCAGATCTGGAGAACAGCATCGACAGGTTAGAAGCCTGCAGCAGCAGCAGTGAGCAGAGCAACCTAGCTCCAGCTTCCAGAGACTCTGTCAGATGCTCTATGGCCTTACAGAGCTTGGTGGTAGAGCTAAAGACAGAACTGAGCAAACAGAGGACTGAGTACGAGACCAGTATCAAAAGGTAATGTCACATGCATGGTGGAGAAAAGGAAGTCTTCTGTGATCATCACCTCTGTTTGAACATGGGTGGGGGCTACCAAGCTATCCGATTCCGGGACCTGTAGTTTGGGAAGATTGTAAATTTGGATCTGGTCTTTCCTCAGTGCTCTGTGAGTCCAGCTTTTCTCTTTGACAGAAGAGAAGATCAAAAATGGGATTTCTATTACACAGGAAATTCCAGTATTGCTCAGTTGATTTTCAATGGAAATTAGAACAGTGCAGGTTATTACCAGAGTCTGCTCTTTTTCAGTCTTCTGGTAGAAACAGCGAGGCAAGCATCTGCTTTGTGGGGAGGGAATGGAACCTAGGGTGGTCTGTGCAGGTGCACAGAATTGTGTTAAATCAGTCTGAAATTGAAGGTTTTATGCTGCTTTTCCCAAGGGAAACTTTCCTTAGAGAAATGGTTGTGACTATTCTTTGCTGATTTTATTGTTGTTGTTGAGATTGCATCTCAGTTATAACTTTTTCAGTAACCATTTTGTGTTGAACTTCAAAAATCAAAGCAGTGTTTCTAGATGCTCTCAGAGCTGTCCTTTGCTCACACAGCATGGTACTGACTCAAAGCATGAGCAAGGTGCTGCTTGGGCAGCAGGGCTGAACTTGGTGGTTCTTAGCCCTGATGTTTTTCATGTTTTCAGGAGAGGTATGTGTGAAGGTAGGGGCTATAAAAAGTAGAAAGTACTCCTAACAATTAGGAAGAGTCTTATTTATTCATTTGTGTGAGTTGGTGTATTAGTTTTTACGAGTTTTAGAGTTTAACAGAATGATTTTCAGTCAAGTACTCGGGAAAATACACACACAAAATAATTTAGGTACATTTTAATATAAAGGCATATGTGAAATTGTACACCATGTTACAATACAGAAGAACTGTCATTGTTGTGGGCACCAGTTATGGTGGTTTGCATTGGAGAAGGGCTGCAAGCACATTTCTTACAAATTTGTTTCTTCTCAGCTATTTTGTGTGTGTTCGTTTAGTGTTAGATTCCCTACATTATTAAAACTCTGGTACCATTTACATATCTATGTATCCAACCACTCTCTTACACATGGTACCAAAAGCTTAAGCTAAGTTTGCTGCTGTATCATTTTTATTGTTATTTATCAAAAGCTGTTTTGGAAAGCCCTGGTGTGAATTGCAATCTCTACCAGTGGGCCAGCTGTTAAGGTATGAATATTATTACTTGTTACCTTCCTGCTATATTTTATGGTTTACTGTGGTGGTGGTTTGCCAGCCTCTGCAAAGCTGGTAGGGAGATGAGAGTATGTTCATTGCATTTGATCTGCAGGATTGCCCTGACAAGCCTTGTTGCAGGGATACTGAGTAACAAATAGAAATGAGATCAGGCTGCAAAATTTGGAAGTGTGTGCCTGCCCGTTCTTACCTGCTGCCTCTGGGAAGTGGTAGCTTTCCATATCATCAAGAAAACACCTAGGAAGGACCTGTTTGTCATTTCTGCTGCATTCTCAGCTGTTTCAGTTGTAACAAACACTTGCCTTTCCCCTTCAGCTGGAAAGGGACAAAGAGCAGTTAGTGTTACTGGAGGGGAGGACTACAAATTGGCCAGGTCTCACAGGGCAAAGTAGCCAACGGGAAGATGCCTAACATACTGGTAGTATTTTCATAAAATTAGGCAAGATGCAATCACTGCCTTTTTGTATTAAACAGGATGATTCCAGCTGTTTGGGATTACAGCCCTAAGGATCTTGCTGTCAAGTCTAAGAGTTTCAAGCCAAGTTTTTCAGCTCTCAAAAATTTTGCAATGTTTTTACTGCAGCTGCAACATTTTAATTTCCTTTTGACTGCACATGAAAGTCTGCTCCTGTGGAAAGACAGGAGTTGACTACAGTGAAGGAGTGTGGCAGATTAGCAGGAAAACCGGGGGCTGCCTCACTGGTGTTATGAAGACAATTTAGTCCCCAAAAGTAATAATTCCTTTACGGCTGTGCATGTGCTTGTGTGGTTTGTAGAATTCAGTCTGTGTAGTAGGGCATGTTTTAATGAAGGCATATGAGCTTTTTGTTGGCACACGTACGTGGAGGGAAAGCAAAGTCAGTACCTGCCTGGGGCAGAGGTAAGGAACACTTGCTGATGGAAAAGCTGTTATTTATCATTATCAACTGCCCATTTTCTCCCTCTTAGTCAGAGGGAGGCAAGTTTTATGGCCTTCCTGTAACCAGTCTGTTCCAGAGCATTTCTCCCTCAAGGTTAGTATAATTATCAGGCATTCTCTGTTGAGTTTCAGTAATTCATGTTTACCACCTGGGCCTCTTAAGAAACTGGAAATGTCCTGAAGAGGACTATTACTGTGTATATAAAATGTCTGTAAGCACTGTGAACCTTTGTATTCAGAACAGGGGGAGTGTGTGTAGGCTGCTCTAGCTGACTCCTAAAGATTCACAGAATGAAAATTTAACTGGTAGCACAGATCTGTGGGATGTAGCAAGAAGTGTGGGGGGCTGCATCTTAGCTTCCAAGGAGTCCACTTGCATTACAGAACACAGCTGGGTGATAAATGTTGGCCAGGACTGGTAGTTTTTTCTAGATATTCTGCACATTTCTGTTTACCTATAAGTGCAGCTGTTGGTCTGCTGCACTTTGTGACAAGTGCTTATGGGCGTGACTCTGTAATTTGTTGAAGTGTGTAACAATGATAATAATGTCATTCTTGGCTGTATGTGAAGAAATAGGGCTGCAGTGCATTGCACTGTCTGCAAAATTGCTTCTTGGTAGCCGCAAGATGTAATTCAGGTTCTTCTGAGAAAGTTCTTTTTTCAGATGTTGCTGTGGAGGCTGTCCTTTTAAAGTGTCACCCTGTGTAAAAATATCCCACTCCCAGTTTCAAAGGAAAGCCAGGAACCTCATTTCCACAGTTGGGTTATTAGAATGTTCATTCTTTTATTCTTAATTTAAAGTAGAGTGACACCTTTCCTAAGACAAGCCTGTTATTAAAAATCACTGTCTGACTCCTATCTGGATGTTTTTCTTCTGTATGAACACTTTACTCTGTCTTGCAATTCGGAAACATGAGTGGGAGGACAGGAAGTGATGTCCCTTCTGCGCATTATTTCAAATTCAAAAACATGAACCTTGGTCTCTGACCTCCTTAGAGAAAAGTTCTGAGTTTTGAATTAGAGCTTTGTGCACAGATGAACTATTTCAGGTCTGTCCTTCAGATTCTTCCTCATATGAAATGTGGGTTTGTTTGTTTTGTAAAATTCTGTAGAGTGTGAAAAATTTCTGCTCCCCAACCCCACTGTCAGTGACAAACTTTACAGAAAATACCATAAGATGGAAGGCAAGGAGAAGGACTGTGACTTCATTCCTAACTAACTGACCTTCAGGGGTGTTCTTCTGTACTGGATACCTCACAGGGAAACACATTATCAGGATAAAAACAGGTTACTGTTTCTTTTGGAAATTATACATCTGAACTCAACCTAACAGGTGTTATATCTCCTCCCAAAAGCATTGCTTTGTAAGACTTGATTTGCTTAAGTATATTTATTTTCTCAAGATACAAATGGAGTGGGATCCAGCTTTCAAGGACCCCTACCCTTAAACTCAATATTAACTAACTTTAAAATGGTAATTGGTGCTCTCATTTAAAACTTCCTGTTAGAATTAAGATATTTTAGCTCTAAATAGAACAACTGTTATTTATCACAGCTATCACAGCAGTACTTATCATGCTACTTATTTTAAAAGCTCTTTTTTTTTCTTTTTCTCTCCTCCCTCTCTCTCCTGTTTGGTTTTAAGAATTGAAGAAGCAAGTGCAGACCTGAGGAAGCAAGTGGTTAGGCTAGAAGAAGAACTGGACCAAGAACGAAAGAAATACACAATGCTGGAGATAAAACTGAGGAATTCTGAACGTGCTCGGGAAGATGCAGAGAAAAGGAATCACCTCCTCCAGAAGGAAATGGAAGAGTTTTTTTCAACATTAGGATGTTTAACTGGTGGGAGTCAAACTGCTAAAGTCCCCAAATAGAACAACCTGATGAACGTCACAGAAAACTCTATTTCTGGCAAAACCAGTGAAAAAAATGCACATTTTGTTAAGTTATACTCATGTATCATGAGTAATCCTGCAGCGATTGTGCTCTCGGTGACATGTGCTCTGTTGTCTTTTCATGTTCTGTAGTATTTGGGCCAGCTGGGAAAAGACTGCTAAACATAATGCTTGAACATTTAGATTTCAGATTGCCAAGAAAGAGAGGACACACTTTCTATCCACAGGTCAAAAGGTTCTAGTTTCCACTGCTGTACTTGTTCCATCTTTGGATTCCCTGCACCCTCCTTTTGCTGGTTCATGGACAAGGGAAAGGCATGGAAGGTGGGTGAGACCTGGGAGGACCACTGTTCTAGAATGCCACCACATACAGCGTGGCTTAGCATATGAATTGAATATGAGGTTTTTTCCTCCCTACTCTCTACATAAAGTTTGTTCAGATGTCTCATTGCTGAAAGTGGCATTATTTTATCAAGATGCTTTGAAAACAATGTCTACTGAACAGCTAAAAATACTGAAAATTTTGACAGTTTCACTACGTTATCCCTTAGGTACCAAACTGTTCCACTGCCTCACAAAAATATGACTTATTAAAGTGTACCTGTTTAACAACCAGATTGGCCACAGAAACTCACTGGAACTTTAAATATGCATGTTTTGCCCTAGGTAACTTATTTTTACTTTGAGCCAAAAATAGAGCAGCATTAGCTGCAAGAAAAAAGAAACCTCCTATGAGTTGATACGTAGTGATCAGACATCAAGGTAAGAAAAGGAAAATTCTTATAATCAAAACACATCCAACTGCTGTCGGTATTTTAACTTGAATAGCAAAACTACTGTAAGAGAAATTAATGCAGTTTGTGTTGGAGAAGGGAAAGGGTGGGATCTATCTTTAACTGTCACAGGAGAACAGTAGTTGATTTTTTTGTTTGCAAGAAAGCTTATGGGGATATGTGAGAATAGAAGGAGAACTGCAAACAATCCAGTAGCCTAAGTTTATTACTTCTACAAAAAGAACATACACTATTAGAATGAATATTGTAATTCTAGGACTATCAGGACTCACTTCCCTTCAAGGGACCAACTGACTTACTGGGGAAGTTCTGCATAACATTTGGAGGGCTCTGAGTCATACAGAACCTGCAAAGAAAAGGCTGTTTCACCAGATACATCTTGAGGTGGTTTGCTAGCCCCTGCACTCACTTCATTGTTTGCCCTCTTTTGGCAGAAATCTTTGACAGCTGATGCAGCTTGGGAGTCTCAAAGGAGAATGATTTTAACAGAAAAATGCCATGACCACAGGAACTGACTAGGAACTGGTATAGACTGGAGCAAAGGTGCTCACTTTATTTAACTACCTAAAAAGAAAAATGACCTATGACCTTGCTTTTTTTTCTTGGTAGAAAAGAATATAACTCATCTGGCAGTAACCTTGGACTAGGCTTTTTGCAGTACCAGCAGACTGCACACCTTCTTTCACTGATGTTCTCCTTATCTCACTGGTGACTGAACAGAAGTTAACTTGTTTCCACTGTAGGGATTCTTCTTCCCACAGAAATGTAAACCATTTAAAGCGAGCAAAAAGAAACATTAGCCTCATGTTTCCCGGTTACAGCAAAAGTCAAGCAAAGCAGTGAAATATAACTAATCTTTTTGGGTATTTCAGAACAGTTTCCAAGCATGTTCAGCTGCACTGGATTCTTTACTACCCTATGGTGAAGCAGTGTGGCACAACCCTGACTGTTCAGCAGGAGCAGCTTGCCACCTGCAGGCAGCAGCATCAGCCTCAAACCCCCCCCTCTTTGTATTACTAACGAGCACCACCACAGATCACATCCTTCCAGGGTATTACAACTGGGCACAACTCCTTACCAGCTTACAGGGTCACAACTGAGCCTGCAAGGAAGACAAGGGCCTGTTTAAAACTATTAATATGCACAAAGCATGAGGAGCAATTCCTGTAACAATGCATCTCAACTTGAACACCATAGTGGCTTTAGGCAGCGTGAAGTCCAATGACAGTCCTCAAAAATAAACGTTGGTATCAAAGTATAGCCTGTGCTAGGCTGTAAATAACTGCAATTAAAATACCAGGCTGGTAAAAGTGACAGTTTGTACTACCAGAGGCATTCAATGCAAAGTAGCAGCAATCAGAATATTTTTGTACCTTCTTTTATTCTTACCCCAGCATGGGTACTTTTCATTATATCCAACATCCTGACAGCCTACATCCCTTAAACAATTCATATTGCATTACCTCCTGTATGTTTCTAGTGCAGACTGCTCTCTAATTCCAGCACACTACAATACTGAGCCATGCTGATGGAGAGCCTAAAAACAAATATGCGAAGCAAGGAGAACAACTAAACCAGACTGCTCACTAGCTCTCAGAGAAATCAAATGAGTCAATTCTCAATATTCTTTTAAGTACTTAGAATACCAGACAACTGATATCTACAGCCAAAGTGAGAGACAAAGCCGCCTATCCCAAGCCTTCAGCTCTAAGACAGGATCACTTATTAGCTGTATTGCACTCTACACGAGCTAGCAGCCAGAATAAAATTAATTCTTGTCAGTTTCACAGAGCAAACTGCATCTACTCACAGCAATTAATGGCACTAACCTTTAGTTGACTGTTGTGATCCAGAAATATGTATTCCTCTTCTTCAGAAGTAATAGGTCACTTTGAAGATGATCCGCTGCAAGAAGTTGTAGTGTACCCATTCTTGATAAAATGTACCTTGGCAGGAAGCAAACTCTAAAGCGTGGTAAGAAACATGTAATGTTCATTTTCCTCTCATGAGCAATTTTGCAAGAAATGAGGATATGCTCACGCTGTTGGACATAACCCCATGGATCACCATGTCCTGATTTGATGAGGATAATACTCTCTTCAGTGACAGCTGCTGTTTCCACGCTCTTTTCCAACCACTTCATTTGCCTATCTCACAGATCTGAGTGCACTCCTTATTTTGCAGACATTTAGCTTCTTCTAGCCCCCTCCCACCACCACCAATTAAATTGAAGCCTTAACAATGGTTTACAGGTTTGCTAGTCCTAAAAAGACACAGAATCAGGTAACTTCCTAGCCTGAAATATCCCTTTCAGTATTATGCAGGCAAAAAAAAGTAAAAAAAAAAGTAAAAAAAAAAAAAAATTCAGTGAAAGAAACACAACATAAGCACATACTTGAAAAAAAAAATAAATCCAAAGCCAAATAATAAAGAAATTCTATAGGTCTCCATGGTATTTCTAATATGAAAAGGAAAAGCAGTAATGCTAACTTAATAACTTAATGAGTGATCCACATTTGCCAAAGAGCTCTATACAAGCCAGCAGCACTATGGAGAGTTTCAGCTTTAGGTTTATCAGCCAGAACTACTGCCCAATATGTTAAAACAATGAAGTTAACACAGCCAAATCCCTGACAGAGCTAGGATTGTCTAAGGCCTTGCTCTATATTCATGTGTTACTTAGAACCAGCCTCACTTTATGCTAACGTAGGCAAATAAAAAAGAGCATCTCTGAGCCTCACCACTTTCCTAGAAGAACACCTCCAGAAGAACTGCTCCAGATGAAGGAAGCAGGCTGCACTGTCCTGCCCACAGCTGCAGCACCTTCGTGTCAAAAATGAGATGCAGAAACAATGTGGCAGCATGCAGCCAAACACAACTTGAGGGCATCCTGAGTCTTCATTTAAAGCAACTCACAGAGCCTGCTGGAAATGAAGGTAATGAAATAAATACTGGTAGTACCAGTGCAGGAAGTGGTCCTGTTACCCAAATTTACTCTCCAGTAAGAGCCCTTCAAAAATCAGGTATCTTAAAGCTTCTCTGGCAATCAGTTTTGAGGATTTTTTTCCTAAAGGCCCTGTGCCCTCACACACTGGAAGGGCCATAGCTTACCTCTTTCTACCAGTTGTTGGAAGGGCCCAACAACTTCATTACCAGGAGGGCAGGCAGACTGCAGTTGGTAGCAAAAAAAGTAAAAATGGAAGACATACAGCATTTTTTGCCTACAGATGAGCTCAGACACAAAAGAGAACATAAATACCATTTAAAACATTTTTCAGGATAGACCAACACTAATACAGCTTCAGCTGCAGTCTTACTGTCAAGTCCATGCTTGTCATTCCAGCCTAGCAATGAAGAAACACTAAATGCATAGTGGTCAAGCTTTTTTTTTTCCTTTTTTATTTAAAATATCATTATAACCAATTAACATACTAGATAACAATGTATACATTCCAGTGGTGCACATGTAATGACCTATGGCATGAATGATTGAAAAAACCACAATGCTTTCAGTAATGCCCCACCAACTGCTTATTTGGAGGGAATAAAAGAAAAACAGGAAAGCTATCAAATGCAGGGAAGAAAAAAAATAGCTCTCCCACTATTTTTCATGACTTATTTTCCCCTTAGTATTTCCTGGGACAAAACAAAATTAAGAATGTACTTTAAAAGGGGCAGAAGGAATGATCACAATCATTAAGGTGTTTTTTTTTTCCTTTCTCAACTTTAGTAATAAAAGCTAAAGAACTCTCAAAAATAGACTAGATATTGGGCCTACAAAAGTAATTCATCTGTATGCAAAGCTTACCAAGAATTATTCCTTTTGTAAAATGTAAAGGATGAGCTGACACTACTAGTAAACTATTCTTACCTACAAAACCAGACTACAATAATAAAATCACCAATTTACAGCTAACACAATATTCTAGATGTACATTATTGTACACAAGCTATATATTACACATGAACATCTTACGTGAAAATATGTAAGAAACGTAACTACTGATATTGTCTCAACATTGGCCAAAAGGTTCAATTTTCTAAAGGAAGTGTAATTTTCTATTTCACATTCAGTGTAGTTCCAATAGCAAGGGTTAGCTTTGCTTATTTAGAAACGTAGATGGTTTGTGTGAGGTAGATCAAGAAAACCTTGCTAAAATTTTAACGGCAAAAGTGGAAACAATGTTATCTGATTTATAACACATCCATAAAGAAGAGAGATCCGTGTTAGGATGTAAAAGAGATCAACTGAAATATCACTTTAATCCAGTGCCCATAAGTAAAGATAAATAAAACGAACTGAAAATTTAGTTAGGCAGTAGAGTCTCATCACAGATTTCCATTAATCTTCCTAATCCTATGCAGACTGCTCTCTTTCAGCTCCAATCCTCAAACTATATCCAGACAGGTGAACCAAAAATTTAACAAGCAAATGAAATATAACAATGTGAACAAACTGCTGTTAACAGCAAATATTGGATTCCTGGTTGGGCAGAAACTATCTACCTGTACTAGCTCTTTGATCATCTTCTTTATGCAACGTTGAGATTAATGCCGAATGTATTAATGCTGAAGCATTATAAATATAAAATGTCAGTCAAGGTGCTGAATTTTTGCCTTCTAACAGAATAGTCTTTATGTTCAGAGAAGTAATTTTCCATAAAGCAAACCCATGTCAATAACATTCTGCTTGTACACTGAAACAGCAGAGGGTGCTATTGCCATAACCATCCCATTTACAGCTCACTACATCCTCTTAAATTCACACATATGTGATTACATGATTCTGTGTGTGCATGGAGCAGGAAGGTTTACCAGTTTTATACTGACATTATCTTTGTCTCTGGCTGGGATTCTCATCCAAAAAGATACTAATATACATACAGTAAAGCAAGATTTTTCTAAACCAAAAACCCAAGCTGCACAGTGCCTACATAGAGGAAAGCACCACCTCTCTTCAGGTTAGCTGGAGGAGTGAAGCAGAGGTGGCCTGGTCAGTCAGGCTGCTCTAAGGTTGTTCAGCTGATGCTCTGGCAGTCCAGCTTCCCCCCCCCCCCCCCCCCCCCCCCCCCCCCCCCCCCCCCCCCACTAACACACACCAACCCCATTGTGTAGCCTCAACAAAAGACTTGACAGATCAAAAGACATCACAGAGCAGAGGTGCAGCACACAGTAACAGTATTAATCTTCCCCCCCTCTCCTCCCCACCTTTCCATCTATTTAAAAACCCTGAGGAACCTACTTCTGCAAAGGGAGAGGAGCTTTTTTAGAGCCCGCCACAGAAGGTGGGAATTAATATTATTACTGCTCAACTTTTAAGCTCACCTGACATGAAATCAGACACAGCTCACTGTAATTCAATCCCTATCAACTCCAATGGGTTGGAACGGCCCTAGAAGTGGAACATTGCATGCACTTTAGTAAAGCCTGTTACTGTGAAAAGATTTTGAAATCGTATACTGAAATAAAGCTTAATATTTCAGGAATAAATTTTTACAGTGTATTAGGTAGCATATTAGCTGGCAATAGAATATACAAAAACAGTTGCACTCAACCCCTTTGTTTGCTATTTGTGGCACAACTATCTCTGAATTCATTTAAATTTCAACAAATAAAAAGAAATAAGACTTGTCTACTGTTGCAGTAACTTGGTTACTGAGAATCTGATTCACTTGTCAAGTTTGCCTAAAATGCAATCAACTGGAAGAAAAAAAGAAAGTAACACCCCTATGAAGACGATGCTAGAAGTGGACTATAGGTTCCAGCATCCAGAGCTCTGACCGTAGTGAAATAATCACTTTAAACATGGTTCACTTCATACTATAACAGGTTGCAGAGGACAGTCCCAGCCATTCAGCAATACTACATTACAAGAAAAGAAAAATTCAATTCTTCTTAGAGATTATGAGCAAAATGAAATTATTATTGATTGCTTGCTGTGGTAATATTAGACTCAGCCTATTTATGTTGAAAGAAAAAAAAATAATGGTCAGATTCATTCAATATGCATTTTAAAGCAATTTTTCTTTAGGACACTGGAAAGTGATAACAAAAGGTAAAGTTTCCAAATACTTCAGTCATCACTGCAATCCAAAGGGGTCCAAAATCAACTGAAATAGGGATTATATTTACCAAATCGCATTCTTTATAGAATCCACAGGCATCTGAAGTTGTTTTTGTCAGTACATTAACTTCATACTCCGGGTTAACCCTTGTGTACCAAAATAGTACTGTTCTATGACCAAAAATTTTGGCTTAATTCAGTTTAAACTTTGATTAAAAAAAAAATAATTACAAAATAGACTGTTCTATTGGTCTCTGTTCAAATTGAGCAGATTTTTTATGTTCCAGTGTGAGAAAAGTCCAAATAAGATCTGCCTAATCTGAGGTAATATACAATTTGGCAGGATCTCATAAAAATAATTGCCTTAACAAATGTGGTTTAGAAAGGCAATATTGAAATATTCCATACAAATGAGGAAACCAAAATTACACACACAAATAGCACTTACCAGCAGTCTAGCCAGGCCAGGGAAACAACTGTGCAGTTTATCAATTTAGTCATCTTTGAGACATTACCACTCCTTGTATCCTGCATTTTTTTTTAAAAAGACATATTAGATATTGAAAGCATTACTGTCACTTACATTTTTCTGAAACTTTGCTGCAAGGATGAATTTCCCTCTTCCCATTCTAACCACAAAGAGTCTTTTAACCCAACAAAGCGAAGGAACCACACTGAAGAGCATCAGTCACTCCCGGATGACCTTTGTAGCCAGTCACATTATTTGCTTCTGCTCTGTGCCTGGCAAGACTTCTGTAATTTTTATGCTCATTTTGGCGAGCATTACTAATTTAAATTCCTCTTTACATTCTAATTCACTACACAAAATATGCATCTACACATGGCAATCAATTACACAGCCTAGCTTCACTAAAAATCTGCATTTTCCAAAGGAATAAATTCTGAATGATTGTTTAACTCATACATAAACTTAAGTCAGTTATACATAAATCATTCTGTAAATATAAAATGTAAACAGTTAAAATACTTCCGTGAGGAGCAGTACCATTTTACATGACTGTTTAGTAATTGTTCTACATATTTCAATATATCTTTTGTTTAAAAACTGTATTGAAACCTGGAGCTTCAGTGCTGAAAACTACTGCATATTAATGACTTAAAATGAACCATTATTAAGACTTCTGCTACACTGGTCTCAAGGTCAAATGAAAGAGATATATATTAATTTACACAGCACTACTTCTCCCTCCTTTGGATGGCACATATTGCTCACTTAATGAATTAGCTACAGGAATCCTGAGGTTCTTCTACCACTTCATGGTTTTTAGCGATCAGTTACTTTTGGTGGAGAAAGAATAGCTGAAATTTTGCCCCTGCTGCATTCACATCCTTTCCTCTTCTCCCCAGAAAGCACTCACCTTTGCAGACAAAAGTAGTAAGAAACTAAACTCCCAAAAACCATATACTACATGGAAGTATAACTACAGCATATTTGTTTTTCCTGTTGGCAGTCTAGACGTCCTGGATACACCTTTGTTTTGTGTACAAAAACAGGCTACAAGCTAGAAGTAAACAGTTTATTTGCATTGTAATGTATTATTCATGAAGTATCCTCTCGTTTTATGGTGATCGTGAGATTTGGCATGCCACAATTGTGCAGAAGACATCACAACCCTTTGTTAGGCTAGATGTTTCTGCAGCCTTGAAGATAGGCTTTGCTTTCTTAAGATCATAAAATCATTCAAATGAAATTACTTTACAAAGGACTGTATACTGTTTCTCTAACAAAATTCAGTAATTGTTGCTTTTACTCAAGTATTATAGGCAAGTGGCCAAAATGAAAGAGCATATTATTCACTGTCAGCACCATAGCAGCACGCTCCAAAAAGCCTACAGCTGGCTGCACCCAACTCTCTCTCCCCTTCCACCTCAATATGGACACATGACCAAGCATAAAACTTTGAAGGATATCATGAACAAAACATCTGGAATAAATTCTAAATTTAAAAAAATTGAAAACCTATAAAATCTTAAATAATACATGATATGGTAATGACCACAACATTAATATGTGCTTTGATAAAACAAATCTTACAAATTCAGTAAAAAAAAAGGTCAGCAGCATAATAGTAAAGCAAATATGCAGATTTTAAAACCACAATAAAAATTATCAGGTTTAATATTTTACAGTTAATTACAGCAAAAAAAGTGGCTGCTTTTAACACAACTTACAGTTTAAAATTACAGCACTTTATGATGAATTCTATGATTATTTTTGAAAAAACACTCAAAAATACCACCAAATTTTAAAGGTGCCCTATTAATGACTAAAAGGAACCCCCTCCCACCCCCCAAAAGACCAAGTAGTCATCTACAGCAACCCAGAGGTCCAGCTGAGGTTTCTAGACTGCTGTCTGTATCAGAGGCCAATGTTGGATCTGTTGACATTGAAGACACATCATTGACAGATGACGACGAAGATGGATGCTGAGAGCCATTGATCATTGCTGCACCTGTGCTATGAGAAACAAAACAGCAAATCAGTTGCAAATACAGTTGCACGGCTCAGCACTTGCATTAGTCTGTTTCTTCCTAACAGTCACTACTTCTCCCCATTTTGGCAAGTCTGAAGACAGGCATCTCAAAACGATTGTCAATATAAATAAAATCCACAAGTCATAAAAATGTGGTGCTTCATGAATGCTATGGTAAGAACCACAAAACTTACATGATAGGATACCTGTCGAATTACAATAAATGCTAATGACCGAAGGTTAAAAATCACAAATAGTACAAAAACCCAGGGCTTAGATATCCTACTACATGTTGAGAGCCAACTTAGACAATATCTACATATTTTGGAAAAGAAAATGGCATGTTTTTTTTCATCAGATCCTCCCACTTATTTGGGAAATAGCAAGCATCCATCTGCACTGCATACAGCCAGTTTCAGATATGCTGCAGTTCAAAGCCAGGGCATCAGTAAAATCTGAGAAGAGTCAGCAACAGCAGCTAACTTTTGCCACCTTGCTCTGAAGTTCAGCAACGCTTTCTGAATATGCTCCATAATTTTTCTGTTTAGAGGAATTTTCAAGACATACTACCTAGAAATCCTGTTTCATTACTTAATAGATAAAAGTAGTGGTTATATCTTTATGTGATACTGCACCAGCTACAAATTACATTTCTTACCAGACTAAGGCAGTGGAGTACGTATGAAGTATTCTACATATACATCCTGAGATCTTTATAGAGGATTGAAGTGAAGCATCAATAATAATTTATCAGGTTAATAAAAAGAGAAATTCCACCAAATGATGCCAACTCCACTTTCCGTTCAAATAAGTACAAACTCAAAGAGAATTCTAAAGATTATCAGTCATTCAAGGGCTGCATTTTTGAGCCTGGTCATAGTTGGATATCTTGAATAGCTTTACACTCTCCTGACCTACAACTCTATGTAGTTTCGTACCGTGCTTTTATTGTAACCAACCTAAAGGGGCTGGCTGCCCACGTATAACCCCATTCTTGGTTCTTTCCTCCAGGTCCATGACTTCCTTGTATATTAATTCTGAAATGAAGGGAAATAAGGCAAAAAATTGAATTTGCAAACAAAAAAAACCCTCAGTTGACAATTTATCTCCCATTAAAATGTATATCTAAGTTTCTTCTATTACTGTTTAGAATTAGTTTTGAACAACAGTCCATAGATAACAGAATGGGCACGTGGTATTATAACATACAATTCTCTACTTCTGGAGCTACAATGGCCTGGAAACCTCAAGAACACACTGACACTGGTCTCAGACTTTCTTCCAGACAGTCTGGGGACCTGAGGCTAAACTGAGTCTTAATGACTATTCTGTTTTTATCAATGCTTTCTTTGGTACAGAAGAATCAGATCAGCAGTCTTCAAAGAACCATGCAGGCTGTTCTATAGAGGAAGTTTCTTTGTCATTAATTCATTTTCATCTTTAAAAAGCCCTTTCACACATTATTATTTTTTTCATAATGTAGTCTGTCTAAAGATATGAAAAAAAAAA